AAATTCGTTCGACTCTAGATATCCGAATGTTTTTCCTGATATACATGTTGCTAAGAATTCTATACTAGTTGTCAGTTGAAATAGAAAATGCCAGCTGCTTGAGAGGAAAATACTTCGTAAATTTTTTTTAATCTTAACACACTTTAATAATTTGTTAAATTAACTTTTATTTTATGAAAAAATTTGTAATAAATTATTTTATTATGGTTTTTCGACTATTTTACTTTATTAAAACAAAATTTTTATTTTTATCAATTTTGTATGTACTATTCTATTTTATTAGTTTAACAATATATTAAATTTTCATTTTAATCAATTTGTTCATTATGAATTTTTCACTACATTAGTATATTAAACAAAATTTCGATGTATTATTTCATTATATTAGTTTATTAAAACAAAATTTTAATTTTAATCAATAAGTTTATTATTGATTAAGTTTTAAACTTTTATACTACTTCACATTGGATGCCAGTAAATTAAATTATGTTTCAATTTAAAAACAAAACGAATTGTAACAATTTTTTTTTTTTGGTTTTATTAACAAAAACATTAATTGCTCTTAAATTTATAGCTTATAAGAACCCTAATTAGTTTGAAACTTAACGAAATCGTAACTGAAACTAAAAAACTAAAAATATGTTGCCACAACTTCTTACACTACAATATTTGCAACGTTGTCAGTTGCAGATGTGCCACAATATGTATTGTCGCGAATATCGAAATCACATTATTACCAATTTATAACTAACATTATTCTCCCCGTTGGTTTTAAAGTTTTTTGGGAGGTGTTAACATTATATATATATATATTTACAACAAAAACATGTACATTATTAAAGCGCTAAAATACATTGAAAATAGATTTCAGCAAGTTTTTGTACCCTTTACATAAAGAAGTGAAAAAGAGTAAATTAGGTTTGGGAGAACTTTTGCAACACATTTTTGTAACTTTGGACACTTTATTTTTAGAAGTGCACTTTGATTTGTAAAAAAATATGTCTTATATCTTACATATGTGATCACTGAACAATCATATATTAGTTTTATCCATTTTTAATGTAGATATTGAAATGAAATTTGGTGCAAAATATTGTAACGTTACTTTCCTCATGGTCGTATATATATATTAAATTAAAATGAATTAATGTATAGAAAAAATGTAAATATATAAAATGTTTGAAATTTTTTGCCGGGCTTTAGGTCGTAGTTTTTAATTTTAAATTTTTATATAATAACTCGTATTTTATATAAAATAAAAAAAAAAAGATTAATTCATGTAATAAATTATTTTATTAACAAATATTTCGGCCTACTTCGTAGGCCATCTTCAGTGTTATTAAATTTATACAAATACAATTAGGTATATATATAAAAAAATTTTTTAAATGTCAAAAGTCATACAATAATCAAACAAAAAGCTATGAAAAAGGGAAATTAATTTTTAAAAAAAGAATAACAACCAGTGTTGTCACAATCAGAACGAAAAACATGTTTTTTAAAGAAAATTTTTAATTTTTATGAAAACAAATAAAAGTAAATATAAACTTAGCAATTTATGTTTGATTAATGATCTATAGATTTGCGCTAAGCCTTCAGTATCCCTCTTATAGTTTAGTTGTTGATCATCTGGTACGTCAAGTATATGTAGCATTTCTAGCAACATCCTACGTTTGTAATTTTTCTCCTGGTGAAGAATTTTAACATCATTGAAGTTGGGAGAATGGTTCATTTTAATACAATGTGTTGCTAGAGCAGTTTTTTGTTCCAGGGGTGTAGAGCGAACTCTTAAGATCATGTTTGTGTCCAGCGATTCTCGTTCTTAATTTATTTTTTGTTGTGCCAACATATACCTGTTGGCATACGTTGGCTCCGTCACCTCCACAGGAAATTTTGTAAACCAAGTTATGTTGGTCTAACTTGTCTAACTTGAGTTTTTGTTCTATTAAACCAATTTTTTAATGTATTTGTGGTTTTGAAAGCTACTTTATGCGTTGTTTTGTTGAAGCATTTTGATTTTTATAAGCTTTCGGAGAAGCTAACTATGCTACGAAGTAGGCCGAAATATTTGTTAATAAAATAATTTATTACATGAATTAATCTTTGTGATATTTTATTTAATTAAAAGTTTGTTTTTTTTTATTTTATATAATATACAAGTTATTATATAAAAATTTAAAATTAAAAACCACGACCTAAAGCCCGGCAAAAAATTTCAAACATAAACATTGAGGTCGACACCAAACGAACATAAATATATAAAATATTATACTTTATATTGAAATAATTAAACAGATAAATAAAGAAATATAAAATAAATAACTTAAAATTCTAATGTTTGCAAGTGTGTTGGTTGTAATATTTTGTCCAATGTTGTGTTTTGTTATGTTGTGCTGTGTTGTGTTGCAATGTGTTGTGTTGTAACGTGTTGTGTTGTAATGTGTTGTGTTGAATTGTGGGCTTAGAATCGCAGCTTTTGTAGAACACGTTTGTAATAAAATAATAACTGTCTCTGTCACAATTTTTTGTTTTCTTTATATATACATAAAACTGCACTGTTTTTTTTTTTATTTGAATACTTACTCACTTTTTATTTTTAGGTTTAGCAATTAATCTGCTGTCTCTGTCAGCTGTTTGAGTATTTTAATAGAGTTGTGCAAAAAAAAATCAACTAAAATCGAAAAGGTCACGCTATTTTCAAATTAATATTTTATGCACTTTTAACTTTTTGTAATTGTTTTTTGTCCAAAAACGGTTTGTGTTTTTATATTAATTACAAAAGTAATTCTTATAAAAATACTTGTTATATATTTGATTTTATACTGGAATTGAAATTCCTCGGATACCGCCTTAAAACACGTTCGCTCACTAGAAATGTTTTAGGCGATGTATCTTTGACATTGAAATTACCGAAACGGGTGTTCGCTGTTACAATACCAAAACCAAAAACATATTCATTTTTTCAGCCACCTGGCTTACGTTTTCACCATTATCAAAGAAAAACTTGCAAATATGGCGTATTTTCTCTGTGCTAGTGTCAATCTTTGACGCGCGCTCAAACAAAACTGAGTTAACCTTTTACCAAACTGTCAAAAATTTTTTGGGAACAAAATTCATATTTCTAATGCCATCTAGCATAAATAATGCCATCTAAAGCAATATACATTAAGACCGAAAAGTTTTCGGAAATTCTCATTTAAAATTCGCGCGCTGTATATTTTTCGATATTTTAAGTTTATGTAGTTTGGCAGCAATTAAGGACAATTACTATGCCAAAAATGAGCGCGATCTGTCAGACAGTTCGTTTACGGCAGCTGTTGAAACCAGTTCACCTCAGTAGTGCGTTGCGAAAAAAACAATGGAAAAAAATATTGAACAAAGAGTTTGCATCAAATTTTGTGTTTCGAACGAAATTTCGTGTGCAGAATCGTTGCGAATGCTACAAAAGGCTTATGGGGAATCAGTTTTATCGAAAACTCAAGTTTATGAGTGGTACAAAGCCTTTCAGGACGGTCGTACGACCGTCGAAGACATTTCGCAACGCACTACTGAGGTGAACTGGTTTCAACAGCTGCCGTAAACGAACTGTCTGACAGATCGCGCTCATTTTTGGCATAGTAATTAAGGGCAGTGCTGCCAAACTACATAAACTTAAAATATCGAAAAATATACAGCGCGCGAATTTTAAATGAGAATTTCCGAAAACTTTTCAGTCTTAATGTATTTAAAAAATAATAGATTTGTTTTTGCTACACCTAATATTTGAAACTGAATCGTAATTCATAAAATGCAACCTGTGTAATAAAAATGGGATCTTGTCAATTGGTAGAATTTTATTATTATACGATATTCAATTTTTCTATTTTATAAAAACTCACCAATATGCACTATTACAATTATTTTTATAAAGCTAACCCAACATCTGATGAAGTCGAAACTTTTACAACTGTCATTTAAAACTTGTCAGATATACAAAATATAATTTATTTTGTTCTGGCGTTGCTACCTATTGTGAAGTCAGGTATTTATCGATTCACCTAGTATGTTTGAATTTCAAATCAAATGGATTCATTTTTATAAAGTTTTATGTGCAGGACAACAGATAAAAAATACATAGAGAAAAAATGGTAATGCAATACATATATTATTTAAAAAATTTTCTGTTTCAATTTGAAAACTTTCAAAATTTTTATTAAATTGTTTCTATATTTTTAATCTATAAATCTTTTTTATTTATATTTAAGCTGTCGTTTTATTTGTCTAGCCAACATAGCGTGTGAATCAAATGCAACAAATGTTTCTCAATGAATTGCACTAATGAGAACATATGAAACAAAAGAAAACATGTGTATGTTCATATATTAAAATTGAATAGGAAATTGTGATTTTATGAAAACAATTATGGGTTCAAATAAGTTTGAATTGAATATCATGCCAATTATAACTTGATTGAACATTCTTTCGCATTTTTGGTTGTACTTTTGTAAACACACAATTCAATTGTTCTGATTGAAAATCAGAACTGCAATTATTGAGTACATTATCTTACCGATAATATTAATGCTTTCTGGTGATATTTACGTATACATATGTTTTTAGAAATACTCTAATAAATCTGTAAAAAAGATGTTACTTTTCATAAACGTGTGGAATACATCAGAGATCTGTAATAATATATAATACTAGTATATTATATGATCGGTTAGATATACATATATATAATTACCGTTGTCTCAAAATAATCGTTAATAATATCAAAAAAAAAAAATCAGCATGTTTATAATCCCAACTGTATTGTATTATACAAAAGCAAAACACACCCACAAAATTTTTCTTAATTTTTGCATAACTTATTTACTTTTTACTGAAATTAATTTATATTTTCTGATTTATTTTAATCAAAAAAACAACATTGAAATTCAAACAAAAAAAAAACTAACAGTTATTCTTTAAAAAAAAAATTAAAACAATTATATGCAAAATCAATAACATTTTTCTGTGTTCACTTCTTAATATTTCAATTAGAACAATTCAAATTTTTATAAACCCAAAAATCTGTAGGAAAACCTCTGAAAACGTATGTGAATAAACTCAACCAGCTTTGCAGTATCCTGTTCGTTTATTTTTTGCCATTCTCCCTTAATGACATTTTTTAAAATATCCTTACTGGAAATCGAGTACTAGCGAATCTTCTTTTCCAAATAAACCCACAGATGTTCTATGGGATTAAAGTCTTGTGAGTGTGGTGGTGTTCGAAGTTGCAGAAAGCATGTTACAGCAGCCTCAAGCCCTTATATTCTAAAACTTTACTTCAAATTTGTTTTTAGAATACTTAGATATCCGAATTTGTCCTTGTATTTTGTATAAAATCAAGTTTACCAGCACCATTACTTGAAATACACCCCAAACAATTACGCTTCCACCATCATGTTTCTCCGTTGAAATTAGTTTTGTTTATCATAGGCTGTACATGATTTCCTCTACACTAGTTTTCTATCTTTAATTTCAAATACGTAGAATTAATTCTCATTGGAGTAAATAACTCTTTTTCAGAACTCCATAGATTTTTCTACATGCTTTTTTACAAATATTGATCGTTCATCATTAATTGTTATTTTACTTCTGGATATGTATGGCATCTTTCTTGCAACCCGGCTATAATGCTTCCTCTTCTTCAAAATTTTCCGTACAGTATTGAGTCATATTATATTTTTCGTCAATAACTTCAGTTAGTTTGGAGACTGTTACTCTTGGGTTTACTTTCACCTGGTGATGCTGCGTTTTTCTCCATCTGACAGAATTAAAGGGTGACCAGTGAAAGGTTTAGAAACGTAAGTACTCGTCTTCTTTAAGCTATGAATATCTCTGCACAAATGAATTTTGGCGACCAATATCTTTCCAAAATTTAACAGTTATATGTCGCTCACTAACACTAATTTCTTATATTTTCAATTGTAAAAATTTACTGTTTGTATTCAAAAATATTTTTATGTAATCAATTAGGAAGTCGACTAATAATTAATTATCATTTAATTACATAATTATGCTTGCAAGCGAATTTTAATTAACGATAAATCTAAATACACTATTTTTTTTTAAAGAACAAAAATACAACAATATATTTACAGATGAAATAAAATCGTAAATAAGAAATATTAACCAACGCCCTATCACTGCATTACATCCACCAATTATTCTATATATTATTTTACAAGTTTCATACCTTCCTTTATCATCTGTGGATTGGTTCATTATTCTAGTTTTTACTACATCGGCTGGTGTGCCCATAGTAGCTGCAACAAAGCCAGCACATATTGATGCCAACACATGCACAGTGTGACAATCTGGCATATTTAATTTATGCATTATTGAATGCTTAATTGTATCATATGTAGTTAAGTCACCTAAAAATATTTAAAGTTTATTGACCTAAACACTGGAAGTATATTTGAATTAGTTCAGTTTACCTAGATTCACTAATGCAGCTCTTTGCACATTAGGTATACTGCCTTTCCAAAGACTTTTTAGACCGCCTTGATGCACAATTTGTCGAAATGCGTGTGCAACACTAAGAACTCTAGGTGGTGCACCCATTATACGACGTTTACCTTCCATTTGAATCTGCACTTTTACTAAGTCTGCAGGTGAGGCAAGCCACTGAGCTATTGCACCAGCTAAAACGCCACAAATCGCAGATTTCCATAAAGGCAAAGTTATATTATTACTATTTTCCGTTTGCCCGTATTCTTTTCGTAAGAAATCGTAACTGCATATACGAACTCCGCTGAAAGACAAAGTATTTAGTTTATTTTTTAAATTATTTAATTATTTGTATGGTCGCATTAAATACAAATGGAATAACTGCCAACCTATAAACCACATGTCTGTATAACGCCGGTGTAATTCCTTGCCAAAGTTTCAATGGACCTTCTTCTTTTATAATGCCAAATGCGGTAGCCAGCATGCCACGATACTGCATCTGTGGTTGGTGTTAACAATATATTTTATTCAACTATATACGACAGCACTTGAATATAAAATGCAATCTAATATAATAATTTTAATCAGTTTCCAAAACATAATTTTATAATATTTCATATACATGAACTTCTACGGTGTATTTGGAAAAACATTGGTACGGCATACAAGGTGCTAATTTAATAACAAAATTTGTCAAAGTATCGGCATTACATTTCATTAATGTTTGATAAATGAAAAATTTAATATAGAATTTCACCTTTGGTTGAATTGTGGCATTTTGTATTTTCATTGTTTCAGTAACAGCTTCACCTTGAATTTGTAAACGTGTTTTCGTGAGATCCAGTGGATATGTGGCTACTTCTGCTATTGAAGCGGCAAAAACAGACACTATATATGTGCAGGCAAATGAGTCTGCATAATCAAATTTGACGGGTCGCATTTGATTTCGAGTTTTTGATCCTGTAGTCTCCGATAAAACTGTTGCTTCTCCCTGCTTAGGGCTTTGCATTTTTGAGTATTAAATCTACGAACAAATAGAATATAAATTAAAATTTCAAGCATGTTGTACTCATTAGTATGTTATTGGGTATTAAATTTTATGACTTCGTGATTACTCTGCCGCTGCTTCATTAAAAGTTTATCTTTTTGATATACCTGAGTAAACGATACTTATAAATTTAAACTACTAATGATTTCATTAAAATCCCTGAATTGATAATTGAAAATATAATATTTTAAATTATCATTATCGTTATATTATTTTTTTTTTATTATTTTATTATGCAGTCACAATCGTAATCCGATAAACTCAAAAATCCATTGCACATATATTAGGTAATAATCAAACATATGATTGGAACATGTTCAGTGCTTGTCACTACATTTACGCGAGCCTTAAAAGTTGTTTTAAGGCTTTTAAAATCGATTTTAAGATCGCGTAAACACCTGGAACTGAATATTGCTTAAAAGTACTTTTAACTTACTAAAAGCAATATTATTGCTAAAAGTAATTATTAAAAGTAAGTAAGAAATCTCATTTTAAGAATTGATTAAACACCTTAAAAGCAGTTTAAGGTTTAAATTGTCAGCTGTTAACAGTAAATGTGTAGAAATAATTTTAATTTAAATTTTAATATATATATAACACTGTATCAACAATTTAATAACCAATTATATGAAAATAATGAGAAAAAAGGGGAAATAAGAAGAAAAAATTAGATGACTGAGAAGGAATAATGTTTAATAAAAATATTTTATGAAAAAGATATATAGAGGGTTTTAGCAAAGAAAGAAAGGACAATCACAAAAATTTTTTTAATCTTATTAAAATTTGACTGACCATACAAAGCTGTTTCGAATATTGCCAACTACTCATCATCAGTAGTCTTAGGAAATAATCGAATTTGAAAAATCAGCTGTTTGAAATGAGAACAAACGAATTACAACGAATGTAAACACTTTCAACTAGCTCATTCAAAATGAGCCATTTTCGGCCAATATGTATGCCATATTAGATGTGTTCCTAATTAGTGTATTGAATAAACTACCAATTAAGTTGCGCATGTTGGTTATAATTTAATGCTTTTAAAGTAGTATAATAAATTGGTTAGAATATTACTTTTTCCATAATATGATAATAATTATGAAAAGGACCAATCCTGAAGCAAAATTTGTAATTTATATTTAATTTAATAGTTCGTTATTATTTTTGGTTTCATATTAAATATTTTTAAAACAGTAACATTGTTTTGTATATATTAAGTTATTGTATTTATTTAAATTGTATTTGCATAAAATTGGGGAACTGGAAACCTAAAACTTGGTAACGCGCCAGCAGGCATATCTCTTAGGTGGTGCCGAAAATACTTATATATTTTATATTTCTTCTAACGCAATGGAGTTAGAATGTTATTATATACTAGTTAAGAATTTCTTGAATTTCATATACAAAAAATATTTCACCTTACTGAAAGGATTGCTTAAAACTACAAAAAATATGTAGTAGTAAAGAGCATATACAATTTTACGACTTCCTACATCGAAAAAATTTGGTGTACAAACAAATTAGTATAATATTCAAACCTTTTTGAATTTGATAAAATTATTATTAATATTATAATAATTATAAAATAATAATATTTATTATATAATATTTATTGTTTTAAAACAAAATATCAAAACAATGTGACCTAAAACTTGAAAAATACGTACACGTACTAACTTTTCTAATAGATGCCAACTTCTTCTATAAATGTATTTTTTTAACAGCATATATAAATAAGTATATGTGAAACATGATGAAAACGAACATTTATTTTAACAAATACTATACAATTTTTTCAGTTTATATATTTATTTACATATATCAATAATTATTATACTACTACTGATATGAGTTTACTTATTTTTTTTATATATAATTTATAAAGTAAATTTAAAATTTATATATAAATTAAAGTAATACTGATACAAAAAATCATGCCTATATATACTTATTATAATCGTATTAATATATACAATGAATTTTCAAAGAACAATAATTTATGCTAATTCTTCTAATTGAAAGAAATGACTACAAGCTAATATGCAACACCAAATGTAGTAAACATTAATAGCATTGACAGACGGGAGCTAAATTATCATTAAGGGGCTAAATTATAATTTATTTGCTCATTTATCAGTTTTAAATCATCATTTATGGTCCTTAAATGACCGAATTTAACCCAATTTATTCGTCATTTAGGTTTTTAGAAATGGTAATGCTGCATATGCAAGTGAAACGAAATAAAAAATGGAACAAATTTCAAACTGTTATTTGGTTGTCAAAATGTAAACAAAACATATTTGGAAACATTGGTAAATGTAAGTACTCGTTATATATTTATATGTATTATATTTTTTTTATATATTTTATAATTCTTTTGAAATTAGATGACTCAAATTAAAAAACTCAAGCGCCAAGCATGGACGAAATAGGAAGAGATTTTCCTTATACAACTGTGGGAGGAAAATCTAAATGATTTCCGAAACTGTAAGCGCAATGCGTATATATATCAAAAAATTGCTGACGAACTTGTCGGAAAATTTAGTGTGCAAGAAGTGTCCTTCCGGAGGCAGCCGATCACAATGGAAGCACTTCGGAAGGATCCATAAAATGATAGGGTCAAACGCCGCTAATAATAATGTAGTGGAGGAGTCCTTAGTTTTTGTAAGTATATTAACAATGCATTTTATTGCAATGCAAATAGAAATGAAATTTAAATTAAATAAAACAATGTATAGTTGAAAGCATATTTTAATATTAAAATTTATTTTTAAAGTATTAAATTTTATTATAATATAAATATTTTTTTAGGCTCATATGCTCGTCGATTAGCAACAACGTTTAGTCGATTAGCAGCAACGTGTGACATCGAAAGAGTAGAGCTCCCTTCATAAGCAAGACCATCCGGAATGACTTCCCAAATTGACAGCGATGAAGTCTCTTGCTCTTCTGCAAAAAAAAAAAAAATTAATTATCAAATGGTGACAAACAGAGCTGTTAAAACAAACACATACTGAAAGCAAGAACACTAAATACAAGAGGACTTCTCAACTGAGCTTTTTAAAAATTTGTCTCCAAAAACATTAGACCCATCAAGAGGAACGCTTTGTGTTTGTTCTCTAGTTCTGCTTTTGCTTGTAAATTTAATATAAAATGTATGCATTTTTAGCAGAAGAGAAAGAGCGCAATATTTGTTTACCTTTGATTTGTGTTTTAGTACAGTTTCTTTTGGAGATATTTTAACACCGTGCGTAGTCAGAATTCATTTACACATTTACATTGTTTTAAAATATTTCCCTTGCATCAATATAAAAACCTTCCTTTCATTTTGATTATTTAAATTACTAATTAAAATATATATATGTTTTAACACTGTTATTGTTTTTTGTGATAATTTATAATTATTTAAGCATTAAATTTGCAAATGTGTGTAAGAGGGAGTAGAAACCTTTTAATTATAAGCTGCGCTCGCATCATATCTAACATTGATAGGAGTAAACGAAATTAAAAGTATTCACCATGTAAAGGTAAACATAAACATAACATTGAATATGTATGCGTGTCAAGCTGATTAAACGATTCAAATTTCGTTGCTTAAAATTTATGAACTCACATCACACTCTCTTCCCTGTCTCATCTATGGGATATATAATAGTGTAAATTGGGCCAGAGAGTGATTTAATTTTTAATATTTTATTGTTTTGAATAGTTTTAATATTATATGATTTTGTGATGTTGGACACTTCTAATTCAAAATCTTTTGATTTGAAACATTTAAATTAAAATTTAATACATTTTAAATAAATTGAGTTAGTTGCGGTATATACACACATACATTCATTCACATGTATATAAAAATATGTTTACTGAAAGAGCAAACCAACAACATCAACAACAGATATTAAATCGTATTTCCATTGTATACTTCTGCATCACCCAAATGACATTGAATAGCACTTGTTTTTGCGATTTTTTAGCATTACTTTCCAGAGTCGAATAGTAAACAGCAAATAACATTACCGTGATATGTAATGTGTTTATACTGTTTCTTATGTTGGTTTGCTTTTTTGTGATTTTCCAACAGGTTAAATATCGCTGATATCCATGTTAATATAAGTCTATAGATATTTACCATAGAAAAAATATATACATTATATAAAGTACATTAATGTATATATTTTAAGAAGAATATATTTTTTGCTATATTTCTATATATTCATGGAAATATATTTAAATAAATTATTGTAAATAGTAATTATTGTAAGTAATATAAGTTATTATGTAAGATTAGATTTAAGAATAAATGCAATGTTTATAATAAATTAATGTTTTGAACTTTAATAATAAAATATTTTAAAAAACAATTTGGTCTTTATTAATATACTTCATATCATTGCTACTACAGGGCATAGTACTGTATTACTGCCGGTGCTTACTAACCTCATAATAGGCAAACTTCATATATTTGTATGAGACCAAAATAAAATTTTATCAAAAATCAAATTCATAATAATTTGAAACTACTTGTGCATTGCATGCACACGAAGCCAGTCATATATTTTAGGAAAAATATACAAACACAAAGACTATGCATTAACTTCAGAAATATTGTTTCACCTACTATTGCGTACGAAATCATACAGTAAGTGTGCAATAACAATGAAGAAAAGATGTGCCTTTTGTCTGTTGTGTTTGTAAAAACACGAAAAATTAAAATACGAAAATGCAACCATGAGTGTGCAAAAATAGCAAATCGAGCGTTTGACGTTTAAAAAGGAGCATGGCGAAATACGACGCGTAGAGTGGAGGTTTTTTTGGTTGCTTTGGAGCGAATGAAATAATATATATATTAAAAACTGCTACTATCAATATAATAAATAAACTAGGTTAAAATCTTAAAAGCTTTGCAAACTGTTTTATTTTACAATAACTTAACAAAAATCAGAAGTGGGATAAACAGCGCCTAGCCGAAACGTGTGAGTGTGTCCTTGGGAGCGCTAGCGCTTCAACACATTAACATGCGCGAAAGCGAAGTTAAGGTATAAAGAAAAACAAAACGAAACGGGAACGAAATTTGTTGTTTATAAATTAACGGCGGTAATAAAATGAGAATGGTGAAGTTGAAGGATATGCGTTTAAGCGAGCTGAAGGAGGCGTTGGAGGAAGAAGGTTTAGATACGACGGGCAACAAAGCGCAGTTAGTATTGCGTCTGACAGAGCACCTGAAAGCAGACGAAATCCGCGAGCCGGTGGATGTGATCAATTCACGAATAGATAATATGGAACGAATGATTCAACAACTTGTAATGGGCATAGAAAACGTGACACGAAGTAAACCTACGGAAAACGTGAGCGAAAAAAATGAAAATCAGAAGACGGAAATTACATCTACAGTGGTTAACGATTTACCACAACATGGGTCGGTAAAAGATATCAGCGAAACGATACCCGTGTTCGATCCAACAGATAAAAATGGTCTTACAGTTGGACAATTTATCAATCGCGTCAAAAGATCTCTTAATGCATTCCAATGGAATGAAAAACAACTATTGCTAGCCGTTTATGGAAAGTTAAAAGGAGTAGCGCGGTTGTGGCTGGATTCTCTACAAGAATTTGATAGCGAGTGGAGCAGTTTTTCGAATAAGTTGCGTGCAGAATTTGATGTAAAATGTGACGAAGCTGACATTAATTTTGAATTGAGTCAAGCGGTACGTAATGTTAATGAAGGCATCATTGACTATTGTTTTCGAATTGCGGCACTTGGCCGACGATACAAGATAAGTGATAGTGCCATTATAAAATATACTCGCAATGGACTAAACGACACTAAATTGCAAGCGGCGATCGCACCGCTACGGTTTAATAATTTAAAAGATTTTCGCGAAGGTATTGAGGACTTTTTACGCAATATGCAACATGGAACGAACAAAATAGCTTTGGCAAATTCATCGTCAAATCCGATAATAAATTCGAGCGTAAGTGGAGACGCAAATGAAAACTCCGGACAGAAACAGTTTAGAACGGAACCGAAGGTTAGAGCTTGCTTCAATTGCGGTGAAGCGGGACATTTTTCGCGCGAATGTTCAAAGCCACAACGTAGACAACGGTGTAACAATTGCGGAAGAGTTCACCCAAAAGGTCAGAGTACGCACTGTGGGGAGTCAAGTGTGCGTCGAATTGAACGCCCCAACGAATCGATCAGAGAAGTATACATAAATGGTAGACAATGTACAGCACTACTTGATACAGGTAGCCAGTGCAGTCTTATACGGAAAACAGTATCGAGAAATATTAATGGTCAAATTCAGTTATGTTCCATGAACATTTCGGTGTTCGGCGGTGGAAAGGTACGACTAACTGAAGGGGTTAGGGCCCAACTTGCCGTCGACAGTGTACGCCAACTAATATATTTTTATGTAGTAGACGATAAAATGTTGACAACCGATATATTGCTAGGCCATGATGTTGTGTCAGATGATGTGGTCGTACAAATTCAGCGCGATACGTTTACTTTAGAGAAAACGCCAAGACACTTAAGAGTAAGAATAACTACGCGGGACCCTATATCAACGAACGAAATCAATTGTGGAAGCGATAACGATGCAATTCGACGAGACTTGTGCAATCTCATTAATAGTAATAGAGACGTATTCGCCACAAGCTTGAGCGAAATAGGCATAACGGGTTTAACGAAAATGAAAATTACATTAACAACCGATCAACCAATCGTACAAAAGCCGTATCGGGTACCAGCACCAAAACGGTCGGTGGTGGCAACAATGGTAAATGACCTTTTGGAAAACGGTATCATCCAGAAGTCAGAATCTACGTATGCCAGCCCTATTGTTTTAGTCAAGAAAAAGAATGGCGAAGATCGCTTATGCGTTGATTATCGGCGTATCAACAACAACACTATCAAAGAAATATTTCCCACCCCAAGTATCGAAGAACGGCTGCAAGAAGCGAAACAATATACTTATTTCACAACCCTTGATCTTAACTCAGGGTATTATCAAATACCAATAGCGGAAGAAAGCAGAAAATATACTGCATTTATAACGACAGACGGGTTGTATGAATTCAAACGTATGCCTTTCGGACTCAAGAATGCTCCGGCGGTATTCCTGCGTACGATGGCCAAGGTCAAAGAAATGACTCATCTTGGCGATATGGTGGATTTTATGGACGACATTGGCGTAGGCGGAAATACGGCAGACGAAATGTTTAGTAAATTACAACGAGTATTCAATGCATTACGTGAGGCGAAATTGACACTAAATATAAAAAAATGCATATTCCTAAATCGAGAGATCGAGTTTCTGGGGCATAAATTAACTTCAGACGGCATTAGCCCTGGTACAGCAAAAACTTTAGCAGTCGAAAACTTCTCAAGGCCCCGAAACCAAACGGAAGTACAACAATTTTTGGGTTTAAGCGGTTACTTTAGGAAATTTGTTCCAGGTTATGCGATCGTGAGTAAACCATTGCGACAGCTTTTGCATAAAGGCGTAAATTTTGAGTGGGGTAACGAGCAAGAGGGGTCATTCAATGAACTGAAATCGACATTAACGAGGAAGCCAGTTATGACTGCTTATCGATCGGATGCTGAGCATCAAGTACATACTGACGCAAGCTCAATTGGGTTAGCAGGCGTGCTGTTACAAAATGAGATGGGCGAATGGAAACCGGTCGTGTACTACAGCAGATCTACAACGATAGATGAACAAAAGTTCCACAGCTACGAGCTGGAAACATTAGCCGTTGTCGAAACTCTGGAGAGATTGCGTTATTACGTATACGGTAAACCGATCACGGTGGTGACAGACTGCAGTGCATTAAAAACAACGATGCAAAAGCGCGAGCTAATTCCAAGAATAGCCAGGTGGTGGTTACGTATACAAGATTTTGATATAAATATAGAACATAAAAGTGCGAAACGAATGGAACACGTGGACGCACTAAGTCGAAATCCGTTACTAAATGTTTATGAAGGCGACACAGCGGACATGCGTACGTTCAAGGTTGGACTAAACGAATACGACTGGTTGTTTGCGATGCAATTACAAGACGTAAACCTTCAGAAAATCGTGGCTGACGTGCAACGCGAAAATGGACTTGAAAGCGATGGTTATAAAATACATAACGGTCGGCTGTATCGTATGGTTGATGATAAGCTTTTATGGGTCGTGCCGAAACGTTTAAGACATCGAGTTCTTCGGGACTGTCATGATAGCGCAGGACACATGAGCGTTGAAAAGACGATAAACCGAATTAAAACCCATCTATGGTTTCCA